GCACAAGCTCTTTGAGATGGTCAGCTGAGTCATTTCTTCAACACTAAGAAGCAGAGAATTCATTTCCCTCGAGAGCAAACTTATTCAGCTCTGCTCCTATTTGTAGAACCATCTGGAAGCAGGAAGCTGTCATTTAGCTTCTTGCAGCTGGATGCGGTTCTGATCCCCATTTGGGTCAGTCAGCTTCATAAACTGTGAAGGTTAACAACCCATATCAAACTCTAAACCACCTTTAAAGGGAGGTAACACAAATTAGAGTCCTGTCACTAAATTACTAGGGATATATCGGAGGAAATTTCCTCCCCAGTTCCATTTCCACCAAACATGTCGAAGCAGACGGCTTCTGCATCAGAAACAACAGAACCCAATAAATCCTCCTTTACATGCATCTGAAGACTGACCTTAGCAGAAATCTAACCTTTCTGAGGCCTTGTCTGGCAGAACTCCACTAATAACATTTACAACATTTGGCTTTGTTCTCCAACATGCTGTTGTAAATCCCACAGCCACATAAACAGGAACAGATGTGGACCTCAGCGGGTCTGCCTGTAGAACCAGCGCTTTGTTTTAATTCACAGGCGCTGACCAAACCTCAGGATCCACAGAGATTCTGCATCATTGTTCAACACTAGTTACTCATTTAGGAACATGTGTCTGAGGATAAGGATATTAAAGCTGATCAAATACAAATGAAAAGTACTCAAGTTATCAGGTTGAGCTTCACTGATCTCTAACAGAAGCTTTATTTCAAACAAAGTTGCTTTTCTTTGAAACTTTTCTTTGATAAATTCAACGTTTAGGAAAGAAGAAGCATTCAGCAAACAGGCGTACCCTGCCGGCGTAGTGGATGATGCAGAAGTCGGCCTTGTCTTTGAGCTGACGGGGTCTCTGGAACTTTGTGTGCGTTCCCTGCTCCTGGATCAGTTTGTCCACGAAGGTCTTGTCTGTAGCCTTAGGGAACCAGCACTCCTCGTCCAACAGAGCCAGCACTCCTGGAGGGTTCGCCTGGAGGAATAATAACACCACATCAGTCCACAGGGTTCCTACA